CCGGCTGCCCCCTCCTCGCAGCCGGCCGGGCGGAGAGCCACTCAGCCGCCGCAGGCGGGCAGGGCAGGGCACGGCCGGGCAGGGCGCGGAGATTCTATCGCAGCGCGCCCTCGGTCCGGCGACTCCCACCGACGGCGGGTGGCGGGGTGCCATCTCGTGAGCCAAGAAACCCTCACCTGCAGAAATACGAACATCGTGGCAGAGGGCAGACTCGGGCACCTTGAGTAAAACCTCCTCAAACCTACTCGGTAACCGCTGGGGAATGGCTGCAGCGAGTGCTGCGGTGCGTGGAGAGGAACAGATTCATCCCGTTCGAAGCAGCTCCACAAGCAAGCGTCATTCCGGCCAAGTAGGGTAGGATCCCTCAGAGCAGGCGATGACTGGGCCTGCTGCGAACTGTGCTGATAAAACATAGCTTACCCTCCCAACTGCCTCCTCTCACAGGATTGAACGGTGCCAGTGGCATGCTCCTAAAACCGATGCTTTTCAGCTGAAGCCAAAGAGGCTGGAGAAACTGTTCACTTCAGACCTTCGTCTTCTTCAATGACAGTCCAGTTTCCAGACCCTTCACTTACTTCATGTGGATTATTAGCCAGTGTGGGTGATGCTGACTCCTGGACCAGAACACAGAGCCGCTCAAGTGCTGTCTGCGGCCTGTCTAGAGTGCTGCTTTTCAATGAGAATATCTTAATACAATCTTCACAGCAGTCAAGACCACTGGGCTCCTTCTGGGACCCCAAAGAGTTCCTGAAGAAGGATATGAACATAGTACTTCTTGCACTGTGTGTTGCTATCTGTAAGGATGTACACCAGGGCAAACAGTAAGATGAAAGCTGCATGATCAGAGCTGAAGGTAGAAAAATACCTTTCACAGGGAGAGATACTATGCTATGATGGAAAGAGAATCGGGTTCACTTCTGCTTTTGATAGAAAAGTTCCCATCTTCCACATTTTCAAAGCTATATAGCATTCCCTTATCTCATGCTACATCTAGACGCGAAGCAACTGCTGCAGTGCTGCACCAGTCTACCATCACACAGATATCAAACCCACCCTCAGGTTTTCAATAACAGCTTTCCACAAAAATTTGAGTGAAATGGAAAATCTTAGACCTGAAATTTCAGGCATCCTGCAGCATAGGCAGTTATGTAGAAAACCACTTTGATAGGAATGATGATCAGGATCAATAGTTATGTTCCTAAGGCACACTGGTATTCCCACAATAAAATTAATTTCTTCGAAGTGAACTTTCTCCTGAGCTCCGTATTCTATCATAAAATGAGCTCTACCAGCAACAAAGGGCTGTTCTTAAACTTTACCATCCTACATGCTGCATGCCAGTCTTGTCACTTACCTTTTAAAAGTGGCACATACCAAAAAAATCTTACTAAGGACAGTCCTATGCATGCTGCTTCTTTGGAGACTGGCCTGGATAACAAAATCCTAGATTACTGATAAGCTTGCTTTATGTGCTTCTGAATATTATGTAGTGAGCATGACTGAAGAATCAGTCCATGTACTACTGTACCAGTGCCATGACAATATCCAGTCAGTGTTTCGAGAGTTTTTCAGCCATGCTTCTTGCATAATACTCAGCAGCAGGTATGAGCGGATATCAACGCTCAGTATCTTGCATTTGAATTTAAAATTCAGTGTAAAGAAGCATATGGAGGTGTGATGGGGAGGCGATTTTATGTACTGGGTTGGCTATTTTATGGGCTGGGTCAATATCCAGCCAGTTTATTAAGGTCATTCTAGAAGGTGGCAGACTCAGCTACACTCACATGAGATCTTGAGGTCATGAGACCAGCTTAATACAGTATTTAAAGGCAGAGATTGATGCTCAGTCATATTGAAAACAAAGTGTTAGACATATTAGGAAAGGAACAGAGAACCTCATCCAGTGTGTAAACCCATGTGTGTGGGCACGTGCACCATGAATGCTGTACACAGTACTGGTATCCCTTATCTTAAAAAAAACCCACCAAACCCAAAACACCCCCTTCCCCCCAACACCACAAACCAAAAAACCCTCAGAAGACTGAAATAAAAGCAACAAAAAAGAATACAAGATATGGCAACTAACATCCACCAAGTAAACTAGAATTCTTCAGGCTGGAAAAGAGATGACTGGGAAAGAATATGATATAGAGAACTCATAATTAAGAATAGAGGAGATGACTTAACAATGAAAAATATGTCTTAATGAAAGCACAAGCAGAGAATCCAGTCAAGCTAGAAGAAGGGGAAACTGAACAAAGTTTCTAGGTTTCTCTAGATAGAGAAATCCATAATGGATTACCAAATAGAAAGTCAATATCACTTATTCTGGAAGACTCTGATCTGCAAGTTAGTGAAGCCTGTGGAGAATACTTTGCAATAGTATCATTTATAGTACTTTAATCTTACCCCCTTCCTAGGTATTGATTGCCAAGGACACGATACAGGGTTAGGTAGACTCTTTCTTGGTCCCAGTACAATTGTTCTTTTGTTCTCCTGATGTAATGGAGGTGGACAGAAAGGGATATTATTTTGATAGCCATAACTACACAGTGAGTCCTGTATAATAAAATATACATTCCCATTGTATATTTTCAGCAGCTTTCATGGAAGATCCAAATAGTTTTCTGGATTACTAATTTTTTAGTAGGTAGTTAAAAAAAGCAATTCCTCTCCCATTTTTGCCATCTACGCAAGTGTAAGGTTACAGACCCACAACAACAAATGTCACAGGGAAGGTATAAAGAACTAAAGAGACTTCATGGCTATACTAGTTAACAGTTATATTTTACGAATATAACCCTAATTTTTGAAAAATGATACCATTTGGCATTAATGTGGGTTGCATACATGTGAAAGGAGGTATTTAGTTCAGAGTTCCCCTCTCAGAAAAGCATCCCTGATTCCGCAGTTTGTTCTCTGCATCTCAATTTACCTATACTCCCATATTTCCAGCTTCTGGTTTTAAAAGTGTTAATATTAACTTATTTTCAACAATCAGTTCTTTTAAAAGGGTGTAGGTCACCTGACATATGGCATTATATACACCAAGTTGTTACTTGAAAAAACTTGTCAAATATGGTACTAAATATACAGTGCATCTAGACTACAGACATCAATATAACAGAAAAATAAAGATTGTATATTGTATTTTTACCTATAGTAACTAAGTTAATTTGCCTTATGTCTAAGTCACTTGAAAATGCATTACGAATTCTAGCTAAAAGAACTGCATTCAGTTATTAGTAAAACCCTTGATACATGAACCTACAACTGAATCCACTTGATATTTTAAGATGAAAAAAAGATTAAAGAATCCAAATAATTGCCAAAAAGAATTCAGATTATTACATAATGTCATAATGAACTGCCAAGGAGCCAGTTGATGTTTTGAGCTCTTTGTAAATTAAAAATGAGTACGAAACTGATTCAGGTAAAATACATAATCTAACATTACACTTTATTTTTAAAGAGAACCTGAAGAAGCAGATGGAGGTGGAGTCATTTTATATACCAGATATATATTTCATAGACCAGATTGAGGATATGCCTTGAAAAATGCATTTTCTTTCTTTACTGTCCTTGTTAAAAGAACTACAAAAAGAATCTTGATAGGTAAACAGGAACTTATACTGCCAATTAAGGTATGTTCTAAATATTATGAGCACCAACAGGAGATATAAAAAACCCAGAGTTTTTTACCACTGTGGTGGAGAACAAAAGATGGGGAAAAGGAAGACAGAGTGAACTGTTAGCTAAGTCCCCTTCAAGAGTCATTTAACTTTGGTAAGTACTGTCAGGTTACCTTGTAGGATTTAAAAAACACCAGGATTATGTTCTAACCAAGCAATTGTACCTGAATAACTACAGACATTACCCAGAAGTTTAATAATTCACTTGCTTATGACCTACACATTATGTTCATGACTAGGCATTTATTGCAGGCTTTTTATACATAAGGTGTAATGAAATCTCATAGACAGAAGTTAAAGTTAGAAAAGCTTAGGAAAAGAAATCTGGCTAGGAGAAAGAAATTACAAAGTTAGCAGCAAATACAGCTAACTTGAAATAATATATTCAAAGGATATTGTGAATTCTCCCAACATAATCTTAAGGCAGGCTAGGCCCTTTTCTGAAATATACGCAGAAACCCAAACTGTGGTCCGATGAGGGATCACTGATGAGATTATGGCCTACTTACACTTCTGGGTTGGATGGATGTTTCTAACATCTTTTCTGAGTTTAAGATAAACAGAAACACTTGTGCACAGAGTTATAGATAGCCACATTTATTGCAGTAAGAGATAAACTGAAGTTTTTTCAACTTGGTGCAGTACCTCATTGAAGTTATTTCAAAGCTAGTAATGACTTCTCTGTTCTGTTGAAGATTTACAGCAAGTTTTAATGACAAGTTTCAACATCCCTGGAATGATGTATTCCATTAGGCTGCATCATCTGACTCACTGTACACTTAAACACACACTTCTATTGATTTAGTCATCAAGCTTGATTGCATCCCATTCGTTATTTCAATTACTTAAATTATGAACCCAACAGCATTGTTTCACAGTGAGTCACTTGGTGTCAATACTCCACCTTTATTACTCCTCTGCTCTGTTGCTGCCAAAAGCATATTTCATCAAATCAACCCTCAATCAAATGGAAGGATTAGAAAGCACTAATGAACATTAACAACAACAAACTGGAATAGTTTAATGATTGTAGCTTCCATTCTGACTACTTCTAATCATACTCAGCCCTGC